TTTTCCATGATCCCAGACTACAACCTCTTCCATCACCAGGGGGACGTAGGGGTGATGGAGCATAAACCCTTCCAAACCATGGACCCTATTAGAGTCAACCCACCTCCCATAACTCCCCTCGAGACCATTCGAGCCTTTAAGGATAAGCAACAGATCCATCCCAGCTTTCTCGGTGGGCAACAGCACATTTCCCAACACCATCAACCCTCTCAGACACTCGCTCTCAAACCCATTCGACCAAGAAAGTACCCCAACCGGCCGAGCAAAACTCCCGTGCACGAGCGACCGCACGCCTGTCCGGCGGAGAACTGCGACCGTCGCTTTTCGCGATCAGACGAGTTGACGCGTCACCTGCGCATCCACACAGGACACAAACCCTTCCAGTGCCGCATCTGCATGCGATCCTTCAGTCGCAGCGACCATCTAACCACACACATCCGTACGCACACTGGCGAGAAGCCCTTCTCTTGCGAGTTCTGCGGGCGTAAGTTTGCGCGGAGCGACGAGCGAAAGAGGCACGCCAAGGTGCACCTGAAACAAAAAGACAAGAAACCCACGGACAAGGGCAGTAGTGCTGGGGCCGGGGGGAGCCACACCTCTCCTCCGAGCTCCTGTGGGAGCGCGGGACCCAGCAGTGCCAATATCATGACCGTCACCACTTGTGCATGAGATGGACTTGCAAAGTAAGACTTTGAGGAGAAAAAAACGAAGGCTTCTTTCTCCTCTTATATACACAATTGACTTGCTCCCTCTCACTATATCCATCCGTTTCCTACGGTTTTCATTGATTATGGTGGCATTTTTCTGTAGCCACTATTGTTTTTGGTCAAATGAGTGGGGGGTAAGTGGACGAGTGCTGCATGGATGGGAAGGAGAGGGCGTCAAAGACGACGGTTCAAGCAGTCAGGTCAATCCACAGAAAGAGCACTTGCAGACGCAGCGCAGTCATAAGGGTTCAACTCTCAGCTCTGGGGACCAGAGCAATCTCTTGAGATTTTAGTCTTTTCATTTTTTCCTTGTATTTTGGTTTGTCAGTGAGTTGTCAGATAAAAAGTGCACTTTCATTTTCTTAATGTGTTGCAGTCTTTTTAAATGATGGTTAATTATTTAATGTTTCTGTGTTGTTGTTGTTTTTCAACAGAATGTGCCAAATGTATTTAAATACAGCAGACAATTTTTAAAAATATATATTGTTTGTATTAACCTAATGTTGATTTGGGGAAAACCTATGAGCTCTGAAGGCTCAAGGAGACTGAGTTCAGGTGGACGTTAAGGGTCTGTTGCATTATGCAGTTGCATTATTTTACTATTTCGAAATCCCTTATATACAAGTAAGGGATGCAGATGGCATTTGTTATCAGCAACGGACTTTCAGTGCAATAAAAAACAACAACAACGATAACAAAACACAGTCTGGCTCACTTTCACAAGTTAACACTCTACAGTAGGGACTGAAATTAAGACACAGCTGTGGCCTTTACCTGTTTCGCTTAATTTAGTGAGCATAAGGGCCAAACCTGCAGTTCTGCATATCTACTTCTGGTAGAGTGAGATACAGTGATCCGATCCAAACATTTTGCCTTTCTGTTTTTGCTGCCTGTATCCCTGCATGCATCTAGTATCACGTCTTTGCTAGTACTGGAAAGATTGCATCAGTCACGACTGAAGAACCACAGCAATATGCATCCAATTCAAACCATGCAGAGTGTCAACAAGCGTTAACACTTTAAAAATGACTATTTTTATGTGACAATTGTCCTTTTGTTGTCCTTATTGTCATTGTTTTACTTGCTCGTTTCCTGCTTTCATCATCCAATAATTTTCATTGGGTCCCTTTTTATGCACATTATATATATAAAAAACAACAACAACGATAATAAAACACAGTCTGGCTCACTTTCACAAGTTAACACTCTACAGTAGGTACTGAAATTAAGACACAGCTGTGGCCTTTACCTGTTTCGCTTAATTTAGTGAGCATAAGGGCCAAACCTGCAGTTCTGCATATCTACTTCTGGTAGAGTGAGATACAGTGATCCGATCCAAACATTTTGCCTTTCTGTTTTTGCTGCCTGTATCCCTGCATGCATCTAGTATCACGTCTTTGCTAGTACTGGAAAGATTGCATCAGTCACGACTGAAGAACCACAGCAATATGCATCCAATTCAAACCATGCAGAGTGTCAACAAGCGTTAACACTTTAAAAATGACTATTTTTATGTGACAATTGTCCTTTTGTTGTCCTTATTGTCATTGTTTTACTTGCTCGTTTCCTGCTTTCATCATCCAATAATTTTCATTGGGTCCCTTTTTATGCACATTATATATTCAGCACGCATTTTAACACACATGTACACACAGTTTTCAAAAACGAAATCAGCCAAAATTATGGTAATGCTTGCCTGCCAGCATCACCACTGGGCAGGATTGATCTTAGGAGTCATTGTTTTGTGCTTTTACCGGCTGAGGCCTGCCTGCTATATGCATGCCATTCAAGATGCTTTTGGATGGGAACAGTTTTGACATTTATACTGCTCTCAGGGGCAGCACCGTAATGTGGTATATCTCCACAGTTACTCATATCTGGATCATGCCTAGAGATTCTGAATTTTAATGATGAGAATGAGAGGGGGTTTTGTACAGATAATTATACAAACATATTACTACATGTTTTTTACTTGGAATGTACAAAGCAATGTCCTTCAGTATTACGATGTTTGTCCATGCACGTGTGTGTGTGTGTGTGTGTGTGTGTATGCAAATGCATACGCAAACACTCGTATACTTAGATTTTACATTGACTGAATGTTGAAACAAAGGGTGTGCTTACATTTTTGTTTTCTTTCTTTCTTCTGTTTTTGAGATTGTGATTGTGTACATAGTGCAGAATGTTTTTTTTTTTTTAAGTGTGTGTGTGTGTGTGTGTGTGTGTGTGACAGTGTCAAATGTGATGCATTCTCCAGCATTTCTTCAAAGTCTCAAATATTATCTGTTATTAGCGCTATTTTGCAAATGATGACTTGCGGACACACTGAATGATGTGTTTAATAAATGAATAAACGGTAAGATTATTTGGTGAAAAAAGCAAAGCAAAAACCTGTGTATCTCATTATCTTATAAGCAAACTTTGCATACAAAACACTATTTAACTAATTTAGTATTTAATTAATTTAAAATTAGAAATGTTGAGCTTTAATTAAAAACCCACACTTCCAAAGGCTTAAAATTAAAACAATAATTCAAAATATTTTCAATAGTTTTAACCATATGGTCCATAAGTCCCTAATATAAGCACTCCTCACTCCTGGCTGACATTCCCAGAAAAATTAAATCTTCGATTTTTTTTATACCATATTGTTGGTTGGTTCTCGCCATCTTGGGCAAACCACTTCTGCAACGTATATTATGGCAGAATTCCCTTTTTCTCCTGGTGAGGTCAAGCATGAATAACTAACAGAATAGTGGTATTTAAGATCAATTTTGAATAATTAAATATACAGAAATAATTTGACCATTAAAATGAATTGCTAAAATGCGACAGTCCTTTAATTAAAAATGCAGCTCCTTACAGGCAATATAGAAAATGTTCATCAGGTTATAGCTCTTGCAGCCGCGTTAAAATAATAAATGCAATATTTATCTGGGGTGCAAAACGGAAATGATACAAACCAAATATTGATCCAGAAACTCATCTACATACTGCTGAAATCTGCCGAAAGCTAAAGAGGCATTCTGAATGTATACGTTGGCATTATTGTCTTGAATTATGCATCGATATGGCCCTTAATGTCATAATTGTGTACACAAGTAAGTCTGTACCTCTTAACCTCTCTCAATGTAAGTGAAAAAGAGAATATTACATATTACATTTCTGGGAGGAGAGTGTTATTGTCGTTGTTATATCAGTTTCTGTAATATCGGGATCTGTTCAAGGTCCCTCCTCAGCTCTTCTTTTCAGTATTATCTTCATTTCTGAAGCACACATGGTATGAGAAGTATTGTTTTTTTAAATAGGAATACATACAAAAACAGCTTCTGGCTTAATTTCTTCGTGTTATTTTCTTTTTCCCCCTTTCTTTCTGTGCCAAGACACATCAGAATGCAGGGCCAAACTGCAGCAGTAAAAATAGCGAAGCAGTTCTCACAGATCAGATACGATACCCGACGGAATAGTGTGCGTACATGTGTGCGTTTCTTCAGTTTGAAGAGAACATTCTAAGTTAGGAGCTGCGTTATGGAATACAAAGGAAATTCATCTGATGATTAGAATGTGCTGAAGTAATTCTAATGTAAAACATAACATCCGTCATAACTCCGATTTTGTTAGCTACAACAAGTAAAAGTCTTCCTCATAAAGTTCTGTGAAGCAACAAGCAATCGTGACCTCCAGAAAACTTGTGTGTATGTGCGTGTGTTTGTGTTTGAGCATGCTTGCATGCACCTGTATATCTGTGCTGAGTGCTTCCATGTGCATATTTTCCATTTTTATATGTGAACGTCAGAGTCAATTTCACTAGAATAGCCAAAAATGAATTGCTGTGACCATGCGAGTACAGTATCAGCGAAACTAGCTCAATATTAGCCCTCCCCACCTGTTATAAAAATTATATAATATATATATATATATGAATGAAATTCCAGTATCATTAGCAATTAATCAAGAACTGTGCGAACCTTTTCACTTTTTTTTTTTTTCAGGTTTCACTGTGCGAACCTTTTTCGCGTTTGTATAATACGAAGCAGCCCATTTTTGGGGCAAATGGATATCATGACGAGTCTCACAACTCAACTCCCCCCTCTCTGTCATGGTCTCAGCATGACTGTTCACTGTCCTGCTTTGGATCAGAGCCAGGATGAACAGCCTTGTTTCTGCCAAACCGGGTTGCAGGCTTGGCTGCCATGGAACAATATGCGCAGAGGACAGCACAGAAATGTAAATGTGACCCTAGTCGGCTCTGAAGCAGGCCCTGTTTCACAACACTGATTCACTGTTGTTTACCTGATTATTTTGCTCCCTGTAACCCTCTCATTATGGGCGGTCATTAAAGACTGAGAGTAAACATTCAGCATCGGCCCATGACGCTGTCCACTGCGTTGTACATGATCAGTGACTCATCTCCTCTACAAAAAACACAACAGGAAGAAGAAAGTCATCTTTACTGATGCCCACCCGTTCTCACAACGTTTACGGTTTATAGTGTGCAAATAAATGCTTTGTTGTGTGGCCGATATTTTGGTATCCATATTCTTTTTCTACAGGACTGTATCTCTTATTGCATGTCTTGCATGTCTCTTATCAGATGGAGGCACTTAGAGTTGTTTGTGGTCACTTTTATGGATCTGAGGGACACAAGCGTGGGATTTAGCTCACTAGAAGAAAGGATGTTTTGATACGTTTTTACCTCCTGTTACTTCCATTGCCTTATAGTAAGGCCCAGTGGTAAAATCTCTTAATTGTTCACAAAATTAATTGATGTTATCCTTTTGTGGAGAGGAAATGTTCACTTGGCTTCTCATTTGGTTGTAAATTAAATGTTTACCAGTTGATGCGTACTTGAATACACACCTGAATAAAATACAACAGAATCCATTGTGTCTTGTTTTGTGTTGCTCATGTATAAAACAAACAAATATGTCAACCACCTGAAAAAAATTGAATAAATTACCTACATTTGAAGGTGTGGGTGGTTAATAAAAAAAAAAAAAAAAAGTTGTATGAATAAAAATACATTTTCCAAAAATCGGTTTCATTACCACAGGGTAGTCAATTACTGTCAACTTTTAAATGTAAAAATTCTCATTTGAAGATTTGGCTTGAAAGACGACAACTATTGAAAACTATATGAGCACCCAGAGTGACTAACAGACAAAAAGGTTTTTTTATTTATTTATTTTTATTATAAGCGTGTGCTATCGTTATACCATCTGCTGCATTAAATGCTCAAGTTCTTTAAATTCCAGTAAATTATGTTTGGCTGTCAATATATAAAATTCATTCTTCAGATGGAAAAAAATAGCCCTGAAAGTGATTCCAACGATATCATTCCCATGTTTCGTTACCGTTATAGTCGTGGTGTGCACCTACCTATTCTCAAAAGAATTAGACCTTTTTTTCTTCTTTTTGAATTTTTATTTAAGGCTCATTCACATCAAGAACAGAAATGATAATTATATCTAGAATGATAACTATATTAGTGGTCACAACAATAGAAGATTTCTACTGCTTTAAATACTCAAGCATTTTTAAAGCAGGATCCATTCTGATTGGCCTTCAATATTTTTACTGTTCACCAGCAGGAAAAAAAAACATGTTCTAAACGTGATTCCAACCATACTCTTCCTCTGTGTCTTTATCGTTATATAGTTGTGGTGTGGACTCTGCTATTCTCATAGAACTGGAATGATTATTTAAAAAATTTAGTTACCGTTATCGTTATAGTTATCGTCTTTGATGTCAATGTGCATTAAGACATTGGCATTTTCCAATAACAGACCCTGTAGAAAAGAAAAATTATAAATTATATTTCTTTCATATCTATTTTTTTTTGTCCGCAGTAGCAATGATTTGAACAAAGATCAGAGATTTCAAACATTTCTTATTAAATTCAATCATCTTAAGTACTCACGTTACCTGAGTTATATATTCGCAGTGTCTCATTTGTGATTATTCCTAATTCTGCTAAAGATTTCAGGAGAAATATAAGACAACGTTCACACAAAGTTCAAATTAAACATTACATGAGAACTCAATAAACTTCCCAGAGCTTTAAAACAGCAACTTCCGAGTTATAGGATTTTGCTCTGGGTAAATCCCTTTAAAAGTATTCGACAGCCCTTATACATTTTCAGTAAAGAATGGACAATAAATAATGCTGAACATAAACCATTACCGACACTACGAAATCTGGTATCATTACAATAATTTGGTTTGCTTCATAAACGCAGTGTGTGTACATGTCTGGTACCTGTTGCGCGGCTGTAGTTTGACCTCTCCGCTTGCCGTAGTTTAAATCCTCTCGACCTCTGACTTGCAGTAAACTTCTCTATTTCCTGCTCGCCGTCCCACTCTTATAGACTGAAAAGGCGATGTATTTGAAGGAAAGGGATTCTATTTCGATTGATTTGGACTGAATTTGAGCACAAGATGAGCTGGTATGTATCACAACACAGGGTAGTCAATTACTGTCAACTTTTAAATGTAAAAATTCTCATTTGAAGATTTGGCTTGAAAGACGACAACTATTGAAAACTATATGAGCACCCAGAGTGACTAACAGACAAAAAGGTTTTTTTATTTATTTATTTTTATTATAAGCGTGTGCTATCGTTATACCATCTGCTGCATTAAATGCTCAAGTTCTTTAAATTCCAGTAAATTATGTTTGGCTGTCAATATATAAAATTCATTCTTCAGATGGAAAAAAATAGCCCTGAAAGTGATTCCAACGATATCATTCCCATGTTTCGTTACCGTTATAGTCGTGGTGTGCACCTACCTATTCTCAAAAGAATTAGACCTTTTTTTCTTCTTTTTGAATTTTTATTTAAGGCTCATTCACATCAAGAACAGAAATGATAATTATATCTAGAATGATAACTATATTAGTGGTCACAACAATAGAAGATTTCTACTGCTTTAAATACTCAAGCATTTTTAAAGCAGGATCCATTCTGATTGGCCTTCAATATTTTTACTGTTCACCAGCAGGAAAAAAAAACATGTTCTAAACGTGATTCCAACCATACTCTTCCTCTGTGTCTTTATCGTTATATAGTTGTGGTGTGGACTCTGCTATTCTCATAGAACTGGAATGATTATTTAAAAAATTTAGTTACCGTTATCGTTATAGTTATCGTCTTTGATGTCAATGTGCATTAAGACATTGGCATTTTCCAATAACAGACCCTGTAGAAAAGAAAAATTATAAATTATATTTCTTTCATATCTATTTTTTTTTGTCCGCAGTAGCAATGATTTGAACAAAGATCAGAGATTTCAAACATTTCTTATTAAATTCAATCATCTTAAGTACTCACGTTACCTGAGTTATATATTCGCAGTGTCTCATTTGTGATTATTCCTAATTCTGCTAAAGATTTCAGGAGAAATATAAGACAACGTTCACACAAAGTTCAAATTAAACATTACATGAGAACTCAATAAACTTCCCAGAGCTTTAAAACAGCAACTTCCGAGTTATAGGATTTTGCTCTGGGTAAATCCCTTTAAAAGTATTCGACAGCCCTTATACATTTTCAGTAAAGAATGGACAATAAATAATGCTGAACATAAACCATTACCGACACTACGAAATCTGGTATCATTACAATAATTTGGTTTGCTTCATAAACGCAGTGTGTGTACATGTCTGGTACCTGTTGCGCGGCTGTAGTTTGACCTCTCCGCTTGCCGTAGTTTAAATCCTCTCGACCTCTGACTTGCAGTAAACTTCTCTATTTCCTGCTCGCCGTCCCACTCTTATAGACTGAAAAGGCGATGTATTTGAAGGAAAGGGATTCTATTTCGATTGATTTGGACTGAATTTGAGCACAAGATGAGCTGGTATGTATCACAACACTTATGTGGGTTAATAAATAATAATAAGACGTTTGTTTTCAGACGGCGTGAAGTGTCGCGGACTGCGTTTCAAAACACAGTGAGCTGCCTAACTAGACTGCATGTAGAGCGTTCGAATGCAGCTGAAATGCTGTCTAGTTAGGCAGCGAGCGAGCTTTCGACACACCGCCGTCGACTGGCTAGTGCTCTCGCGAGGGACTAATTTAACCGTGTTTGCGGTTACAGCTTAGTTTAAACGTTACATAAACACTTTAAAACGATGTGTAGAATTCCACATGTTTTATACATTCTGTATTCTCTCGCTATAATATTATTTCGCTTGTTAGCCCATAGCTCTTTCCCTAGTTATAGTAGCTAAGTTAGCTCGTAAGCCCTCGGAGACACGATGTTTACAGTCTGATTTATCAATGTATTACTTTATACAATATGTTTATAGCTTATACCTATGAATATAGGTTATTTTATTCGTAATTTAAACTACTTTAATTCTATAAAAGTAGCCTATTTATTAAATGTAGGCACCCTGTGATATGTGTATGTCTAAATGTATGAATCATTTATAATGCATTTGGCAGAGATTATGCGTTTCAGTCTATTTACATTTTCATAAAGAACTTTTTTAAATTATGTATTCTTGTCTTAGAAATTAGTAGCCTGCATTGATCTGAAGAACTTATAATGTAACTTACTCTGTACAGTAGCAGCTCAAGAAACCCTATGGCTCTAGATAACAAGAGGGTTCTTTGCTGAGGGGTTATCAGAGAACCATCGAAGAACCTGTTTTTAAGTGTAGTTCCCTTCATCAGTCTCTGAGTCTGTCTTTCACTGGATTCCAGGAAACTACAGACTTGTTAGCATTTGTTTTAGGTTGAACACAATGGACCACTGTCGACTTGTGTAGTTTTGCCCTGTCAGTTTGTTATGCTTTCATCAAGATGTAAGAAAACTTGGGAAAGACATTGCCATTAAACTACAAAGGTTTGGCCGATTTGTTTGTAGATAACATAATAATTTGTTGTGCTGCTCCAACAAATGCGAAAGTGATTTTGTGATGATTTGCAGTTTTTAAGTTTGGTGGTGCTTATATCATGCTATTCATAATGCTGTATTGTAGTCTTTGTGGCCACTACAGTAACAGCTGAAAGCTAGCGTTCAGAATTATGTGGATACTAGGGGTGTAACAGTTCAAATTACTTACGGTTTGTATCACGGTTTTAGAGTCACGGTTACGGTACGGTTCGGTATGTGCTGTGTTTAGGGGAAAAAAGGACTATACTGTCAAATAAAAATAAAGAAAATAAGAACAAGTAATTTAACTTCAAGCAACAGCACAAAAAATACAATAGAGCAAAGATACAAATAAAATAAACAGTGCTTTTCAGTTTTTTTTTTTTTAGGTATGTCTAACATTAGTTTTTAGGTACAGAAATTGAATAAAGTAATCAAATGTAAAATAACATTGCATATTTGACTGTATAAATTAAAGATTAATCCTTATTAAAGTTACAAAAGTTATTCAGTCAATAGCAGTGAGTGATTTCCTTGTCTTTTGTTGTTTGGTTAACATTAAAAACTTTAAGACAATGCACGGATCTAGTTCACTGATACTGTACGTTCAATCCTAGGATACTCACCAAGATGGGCATGTTGACATAATTTCTGTGTGAATTTGCCCAGTGTAACACAAGACTTGAAAAAGAACTCAATATTCTCTCTGAGACGCAGGTTTGCACGGTTCGGATGACACACAGATCTTCTCACTGTGTGCGTGAGTTCTCATTCGCGTTTTCTGAGCCCATTATTATCTGTTATTTGTTCTCGTTTTAATCATACACTTACTTCATTTTGATCAATTTCTCTTAAAACAAGACTTCTTATGACATTTTGCTTCTCAAGTAAATGTATCTTGATTTAAGAAATTTTGGACGTTTGCACTGGAAAGCGAACATCAGTTTTTTACAGTGTGATCAGAAGGTACAATAAAAGTTATAAGCTTTTTTTTTAATGAAATAAATTAAAAAGAAATGGAGAGCTGATGGAAGATGTATTTTCAAACTTTGATGCGTTGCAAATAAAATGCTTTTACATTTAAAGATCATCTCATTGACGTGTTCCATTCAATTTATTCCTTAAAGGGGTCATATGATGTTGCTAAAAATAACATTATTTTGTGTATTTGGTGTAATGAAATGTTTATGTGGTTTAAAGTTAAAAAAACACCATTATTTTCCACATACTGTATATTATTGTTTCTCCTCTATGCCCCGCCTTTCTGAAACGTTCATCTTTTTTTACAAAGCTCATCGGTCTGAAAAGCGAGGTGTGCTGTGATTGGCCAGCTCTCCAGTGTGTTGTGATTGGTTAGCTGGGCCAGTGTGTGCTGTGATTGGCCAGCTCTCCAGTGTGTTGTGATTGGTTAGCTGGGCCAGTGTGTGCTGTGATTGGCCAGCTCTCCAGTGTGTTGTGATTGGTTAGCTGGGCCAGTGTGTGCTGTGATTGGCCAGCTCTCCAGTGTGTTGTGATTGGTTAGCTGGGCCAGTGTGTGCTGTGATTGGCCAGCTCTCCAGTGTGTTGTGATTGGTTAGCTGGGCCAGTGTGTGCTGTGATTGGCCAGCTCTCCAGTGTGTTGTGATTGGTTAGCTGGGCCAGTGTGTGCTGTGATTGGCCAGCTCTCCAGTGTGTTGTGATTGGTTAGCTGGGCCAGTGTGTGCTGTGATTGGCCAGCTCTCCAGTGTGTTGTGATTGGTTAGCTGGGCCAGTGTGTGCTGTGATTGGCCAGCTCTCCAGTGTGTTGTGATTGGTTAGCTGGGCCAGTGTGTGCTGTGATTGGCCAGCTCTCCAGTGTGTTGTGATTGGTTAGCTGGGCCAGTGTGTGCTGTGATTGGCCAGCTCTCCAGTGTGTTGTGATTGGTTAGCTGGGCCAGTGTGTGCTGTGATTGGCCAGCTCTCCAGTGTGTTGTGATTGGTTAGCTGGGCCAGTGTGTGCTGTGATTGGCAGCACTCGGCACCTGGTCGGGAAATGTCATGCCCCTTACCATAGCCGCCTGCAAGCTTCAGTGGAAATATTACGTCAATATCAAATCAATTTGAGCGCGGATGATTGTAACCACTCTAAGTTCGTCTGCCTTGGGAAAGCTAGCGTGTCTCCGACATAGTGATAACACTCGTTGTCTTCTCTAGTGCAGCTCAACCAGGTCTTGTCCCATTCGTCGATATTTGTGATATGACAAATCCCGGAAAATATGCGTTGTAGTCCAAACGAGTCGTTCATTGTAGTTTTTGAAAAGTGATTTCTGTTAAATAAAATATCTCCTTTTGAAGTGGACTTTGAGCTTTGTAACTTTGCAGATATTTGTTATGCTCAAACAGCAACATTACAGAATAACTAAAGTTGAAAAAGTGAAAAAGCATAATAGGACCCCTTTAACTTTTATAAAGAATATCTCTTTGGGTTTG